GCGACCAGCAATACAGACTTGTATTATGTTACCATTGCGCAATGGTACAACATAGCGACCAGCAATACAGACTTGTACTATGTTACCATTGCGCAATGGTACAACAAAGCGACCGGTAATACAGACTGGTACTATGTTACCATTGCGCAATGGTACAACATAGCGACCAGCAATACAGACTTGTACTATGTTACCATTGCGCAATGGTACAGAATAGCGACCAGCAATACAGACTTGTACTATGTTACTATTGCGCAACGGTACAACATAGCGACCAGCAATACAGACTTGTTCTATGTTACCATTGCGCAATGGTACAACATAGCGACCAGCAATACAGACTGGTACTATGTTACCATTGCGCAATGGTATAACATAGCGACCAGCAATACAGACTTGTACTATGTTACCATTGCGCAATGGTACAACATAGCGACCAGCAATACAACACAGACGCGCCCGGCAAATAGGTACTATATGATAAATGCAAGCGGACCTCATACAGGGATTGCATATTGTGGGCAGTAAGTTGCATACCATGAACACTTCATTCCAATACATGAACAAGGAATAATCGGACTATCACGTATCTGTCCACGCATTGTGAAAATGGTGTAAATTTGCAATAGTAGCACGCCGTACACGCAATAATTTAAAGCGCTGATCAACTGAGAGTATGCAAGTCATATGAGGCAGGGCAATCCGTGATATAGTAGCGATACACAACTACAGCCGCCTAAGAATGACATGCATATATATAAACGTGATCACGTTGGGGGTAATCACAACTACAGCCGCTTTAGAATGACATGCATATATGTAAACGTGTTCACGTTGGGGGTAATGAGATGCCAAATTGCACGCGTATATATCAGAGATATTGTGTATCGCACATTTCAACAAGCATATAGGAGGTGCAAAAAAGAGGGACAGTCCATCTAGTTGACGGAACGGAGGCACATGTGCACACGTGCAATGGAGACAGGCATGCGGCTTCGTATACACTGGCAAAGCAAAGCGTTGGTGACTTGCGGAACAATTCGGACACCATACCGCTATCGTCAGAATCTCCTTCAGCTTCACCGCCATCGTCATTGACGAGGTCACTGACATTCCAGAACTGGATGTTGGATGATAAAGTTATGATGGTTTGGGTGTGAACTTGGTAAGATTGTGTACTCACAGAGAAGAATACGAAGTAACAAGTGTGCATACACACACCCGAGTGCGGCCCAGATACCAAGCCGAGTGTACCAAAATCAAAACACAGGAGGTCCCAATACACCCCACACAACCCAGCACTATCTTACGGCAAGTTGCGCACGGGGCGAACATACACTTCGCACTCATGCGAACTGTTCGAAAGACTGGGTCTATATATTGGTGTATGTGCATACAACATGCAGACGTCATACCGATGGGCGTAACAACACGTGCATTGCACGTGTGCAGGAATGAGCTTAACGCATCTCTCGATACCAGAAGGACCTACGCAACTGCTGCGGCACACCAGAAGTACCCGCAGAAGAGTGAAGCTAAGACTGAAAAACAATACATACCTTACAGTCGCCTGCTTACGAATAGACACGCCCGCACAGTGAGAGACTGTGTATATGAGGATTTCCGAATACGCACGATACCTCAGCTATCTTTACGTAGGAGCCTCCAAAGTCGTTGTATCAACGATTGGTTCACACGCACGTACCTAACGCGCCCATCGCACACTTAGCAGACACACACATACATGTTGTCGTCCATCTTGAATTTGTACCAAGCATCCAAACGCTTCACAAACAGAAATACAGTCACCGCAACACACACCTGTACGGTCTTGTCGTGGGAGCAGGAACCCACAAGCGCACCACTGCGATCAACTCGTAACCTCTCGACCGGGAAATCAGGGTGTTGCCCGACCACCCCTAGCAGTTTATGCGGGTGAATAGCCACAGCTCTGTTGTGAGGTAAGGTGCAAGATAGTCTGAATGGTTACGGAATAAGCTGGAGAGAATACTTTTTTCTGTTCCGTATAGCGATCTGCTTGTAGCCCTCTTGGGTGTAGAGCTACAATGTGGTGAGGCAAAGTGGAAGATAGTGCGAATGGGTACTGAATAATTGGACAAGTGGTATTTTCTTCCGTCTATCGATCGGCTTCTAGTCATATCGATTAGAACGTCAGGGTGCAGCAGACGTGTGAGTGCGTAGCAACAGCTCCAAGGTCCGGTAATAAACCGTGGTTTATTATGTGTGTAAACTAGAATGTCTGAGATATAAGGCAAACAGACATATAGAATGCAATATAACGGACTATTCGCCGCATTGTATGGGCGGTGTGCCGACGCTCTGTTCCGCCCGTAGATGCCTGCATGAATAACGGGATAGTCACTATCCAACTCTAGTAGATCCTAAGTCTTAAAGGTTGCAGCACTATATCACATAACAGCTGTGGTCTTCCTAGCATACCGGATTGTCTGCAGACAACCCCTGACATGACTCATGACCCATCCTCAGCCCATACTCGGCCCATACTCGGGACTGCACATTTCGCTTACCTTATTAATCCATCTGATGACCCGGTTAAGCATATACCCTCGGTTAGAGGCAGGATAGTGTCAATTGACAGTGGGTGACCGGGAAACCTGTCGCTGCAATCGCCCCATTGGCCCCAGGAGAAGATGCTTATAATGCCCTCTTGTGTGCCACACACCACCTTCTTGCCATTCTGATACGTAATATATTCTCATGATGTTAGTACAGCATAGACGCTCTCTGCAAAAAGTAGAGCCAACAGCCAATGATACGTTTGCTCAGGATTTCCTCTCGCGTACCACAGCGATTACTGCTCATACTATATTGAAGTTGCTCATCGTCTCGTTCTGTGCTCAGTAAGTAGCTGTATCCGAAACACACTCCCACAAACGCATAACACCATATACTCGATGTTGCAGGTCTCATCTGCGGTCCACACACACACACAACCCTAAATCCCTAGCGTATTCTGCGCATAGGCAGCAACGAAATCAGAACATGCACATAAGCGTAGCCAATAGCACGCGCGTGACTGAATGTTAGACATCCATGGCATGATATGCTCGTACCTTCATTACACAGACAGACAGAAGTTCCTCGTCCATGTAATCCGACCTCTGTACAAAGAACGGTTTCCGCGGGTTCTTGACATTGAATATTGATAGCGTGCCGTCTCCGGAGGTGGTGAGCACGGAATTCGTTGGCTGTTAGCCGGTTGTGCGAAAGTAGCTCGGTTGTTAGCTTGGGATAGGCGGGAGGATCATCAGAGTAAATGGCCTCTGACGTGGGTGTGGGTGATGATTTGTCGGCGTAGCTTTGAAATTTAATTTACATGTATCGGAATGGAGGCGATTTAATTGGCTATTGACAGCGCGCGCGACGACGAGTTCTATTTGGGCCTGGTATGGACTAAGCAACCGTGTGGCCAGGAAAACGGGGGTAAGTGTCTACGCAATGCCTTAGCTGACCAATGCCTATGCGCAAGTGTATATTAATTTGTAGCTAGCAATACACAGAGGAAAAGCTTTTCAGATGTTTATAGGCACAGGTGTAAGCATTGTTCGGGGTGACTACTAGGTGGGAGTGCAAATGTCAATCACACTATTATGCTTGTGATGAGTACCGAGAATGTCTTTAGTACCTTTATGCTGGCGGTGTATAAGCCTGGAAATTCAGCCATGTGCGCTTGGCTGGAGTCTCTGACGCCTTTAGGCTTCACATGCATGCATTTGGAGAATAAGCAGCGCTGTGCACACACATATATGCAGGCATTAAGCCTACATGCGCGTATACATATTCGTGCAAATGCTCGTGAAAGCGCCAACGGCGTACCTGATGGTATGTGATGTCGGATATGAAATCCTCGCATTCGTCATATGTTAGAGCCACTCCTGCTTGCCTGACATCCCAAATCTGTGGGTAAAGAAAAGGCAGGATGTCAGCATAAATATCAATGTTAATTGTCATTGGTAGCAACTGCGTCACACCAGCAAGACCCAAATTGTTAATTTAAGCATCTAAATTAGATACACTTATACACACACACACGATGCATACAAACAAAATGAATATCTATTCATACCTTAATCACTCCGCCGTCGTCTCCACTAACCAGTAAATTATCCTCCACCATACACAACACATTAATAGCATCTGTATGCGCACTCGTAATCTCTCGCATGCTCGTTCCTGTTTCCATATCTAGAAGACGCATGCTCTTGTCCGCGCTAGCGGTGAAGATATGCTTACCATCAGAACTAAACTGCATCGCGCGCACGCTTTCTTTGTGGAAACTCATCTTGTGGATCTGTGCGTGTACGGGAGGCATACAATTATTCGTGATTGTAAATGTAGTGCAGCCTAGTATACCCAGTAATCTAAGCGGTGCATGATAGAACACTATAGCCAATGGGTCTCGAGATGTATATTTGTACTGATGTTGACGACAATGTATATAGGTATATATGAGACACCAGCTGTATTGCAGACTGGCAGCGCCGTTAAATATGTTAGAACCGTTGGTACACAGAACAAGATGCAATTAAAGGGACTGAATTGAGGGGCTATATCTATAACATAGTGGGTTTTGTACTCCGGGAAAAGATGAGATGTCTATCCAACAGATAGGATGAAACATCAGATACGGGCCAAGATCTATATGCGTGCATGCAGAGCGACATATATACGCACACTAAACTGCAAGCATATATAAGTCTAGGTTACAAAATATCTGATAAAAATATGCAACATTATCATACACATGGAAGGAAGCAGAAATGTCTGCAAAACAACATATCTAAACATGCAAATAACTCTCAAACTCACTTGTTCGTTACCCGTCGTTCCGTCTGATAACGGGACGGCGTAGCGGTGCAAATAAATGTCCCCAGAGATCAGTCCAGACGCCACCATGTCATGTGTAGGCGAGAATTGTATCTCAAACACCTGGTCATCAAAATCGAGCTCTAACGGAGCATTTTCCTCGAACTGTGATTGGTTGGGAATGGGTTTACCGCAACGGTGAGACACCGGCGGGAAGTACAGGTGTGGGTAGAATGCACGTGTAAACAGTTTTGCAACTATGCCATATACTGGTGTACTACAGATATTTGCAAAAAAAAAACACAAGAGTGTGATATATACTTATGTACCAAATACACGACTGCATATATGAAGATAATTGTTTTGCACATAAATATCCGGTATACCGGTGTATAAGCGTGTAAGCTTACTTTTCAGTTCCCCCGTGTCTGTGAATGAAATATTGAGCTTAAAGTGGAATTTGTAATCTGTTTTCCGGAATGACGTGGATGGAAAACATTCCGAAGTCGCTAGTGATGATGTAGACCACTTAGAAAATGTCTGCTCAATGATTCCAGGATTTACTACCATGGACAACTATAATACATACATAGATGCATGCATGTATGC